AGCTTTCTATCTAGTTTAGATGAGGTTATAAATGGTAAGGGAGAAGAGTCGGTGTGATCAGTGCAGATTTACAGGTAGCCAATGTCCCTGATCAGCTGCTCTAGTTCTTGTTAAGAAACACTGAGTTCAAGACCCTGATGTTGTGTTTTCTCCCTGGATTAATCTGTTAGCCCGCATATCCTACAGGGCGGGTGGCAATCCTGAGATTGCTCTTACTATGGTAAAATGGATCTGTTTACTTGGGAGGCTCCATGCTGGAGGGATGACTAGATACCATCAGTTGTGTCTGATTATTTATCCAGGAATAAAGATGCTTAGAGTTTAACTTGGCTTTCGACCTGCGTTTAACAGAAAAAGTAACACGGTATACACTTCGGAGGAAAAGTTAGTGTCAGTGTTGTTTTAACACTCTTCTTGTGGAGATCTTGCTCTAAAACCATGCTAGATGTGGTAGTTTTCCTGCTGTTTGTTCCAGTCTGTCCTGCAGGGCCAGCAAAGATAGGAAGGAAAGAGTTGAAAATTATTTTGCCATATACATTGTCAGGTTACTATCCCATTGCTAGACCTGTGAACCAGAAAGAGTGAGAATAAGCCTTATTTTGGGATATTGTCCCTGTTCAAATAAAGGGAATGGGCTTACTCCCCATAAATTCTCCATCTGATGACTGAGATATGTAAGTTTGATGCATCTGTTTCAGATAACAAAATGGCTGAACTCTGTCCAACTGCAGCTTCTCTTTTTTAGCTCCAGGCAATATACTTTGTCCATCGTTGTAGTGGGGATAGTGCAGAAAGAGCTGGACAGGGCAAAGGGAAGGGACAAGTCTGGCAAGTGTGACTTGCACGGCTGGGTCGCAGAGCAGGAAGGGCAGGGGCCCAGAGCCACCACTGGTAGGAGCTCTGGGAATTACAAGAAAGCAGGGGCTGACTACTGAGCTGAGCTGCCCAGTACAGGCATTGTCTGGGGCTTTAAAGACTATTCTGCTGGGCATGGCTTAGGCAGTGTTGACTATATTTGAGGAGAAGCTGTGCTAAACAGTCTTTGTCCCTTTTTTTCTGAAAAAAGCATGGCATTTTCTTGGATGTCTTCAGTATGTCCCTGGCAAGGCTCCCTCTAGCACCTATGTAGCATGTTCTCACAAACTGAGGCATGGAGGCAACCACTCTGTAGATGTCTATGGACCGAAGTTTGCCTTCTCCTTGCTGTGAGCTGACAGAAGAGTTGTAGTGTGGTGTGAGCCCTCCCTTTTTCTCACCTCGCTCCTAGCTCCCAGCATAATTGTTCCAAGGAGGTCTCTGCCAAGCTTCGTCCCCAGGAAAGTTTGTTCCCAGGCACATTGATCCTGGGGTACATCTGTTCCAGATGCCTACCCTGCTGAATGACTTCGGAAGCTCAAAGTTTTTCCATGGTAGAATTTCCTTAGTGAATTGGAAATAACTCAGCCTAGCTGGGCATTAACTCAGATCTGTGCTCTACTGAAGTGCTTGGTGGTGGTTCCGCAAGCAGGGTGGAGTCTTCTGCAAGCTGCCTCCAGACACTAGGCTGGGTAGATACTGCTTTTGGTTGGTTAGATTCTGAACTAGCAAGCGTAGCACATCTAGAATGATAGAAGGCTACTGAGTCCATGGTGAGAATGGGCAAGATCAGTGTTCAGAGAGCTTGCTAAGCAGCCTCTTTGGATGGTTTCATATTGTGCTGGATAACTTCAATGTTATCAGGGCTTGCAACTGCAAGTCAGGCTCCTTCAGGGGCTTTTGAATGGTTGTTGCAGTAGCAGGTCCTGTGGCAGAAGCACTCCCTACATCTGCCACTGCCTCCTCCAGCTGTGAGTCACTCCTGCCCGGGCTGTAGGTTTTGCTGCTCCTCAGTGTTTTGTCTGCAATGTACCTCAGCTCATTTGGTGTGGGAGATATTTCTCTTCTTTAGCATTGAAGGTCCCAGACTCAGAGATGTGTGGCAAGCCAAAGGCACAGCAACTTGTGTTTTCCTTTCATCTCAGTGGAAAGATTACTCTGCACTTTTTCCCTCTGTTGCCTGCAGTTGCCAGATTGAACGTTGTGTTCTCACTCTGTTCTTGAAACTTTTGAGTGACCTCAGCTTTGCCTCTCTAACAGGGACCCAAAATGTCATACTGCCAAAGGCATCTTCCCCAGCACGTGGCAACAGGATTGCTAATTGTGCTGGGACGGGGGGAGCCATTCCCTGGGTTTTGGATGCAAACTTTTATTCTCATTTTCCCCCCAGCCACACACATTTCTGTGCAGTTTCCCTTGAGGTCTGGAGATGCAGAATGCATGCAGTTGAGGGTTTTTTTCATCTTTTTCACACCTCCCTCCCTTCTTTCTCCCCTGGCCATTTGATTCCCTGACTTGCCAGCACTTCAGAGTGAGCCTGTACCTTGACCTCTGCATATGCAAAGTCCTACTGGTCCAGCCTTCCACACCTTTGGTTATCAGGAGGTTGCTGCTAGCAGATGCCAAATGCTGCTGACTTGCCAGCAGTTCTTGGGGGTATTTGCAAGGTAGAGAGTGTCCTCCAGAAGGCGAGGCAGTGCAGCAGCTTGACTTTCATAGTGTGAATGGCCCTCCAAAGAAACGTCTATTTTTCTGTGGTCCTAGGAGATCAACATTCCTAAGGTAAATACAGTAGGGGAAGGCCCTTTCTGTGCACTATATTTCAACTGAGCCAAGGATACCCAGAGGTCTTGCTGAGTCTGTCCATGAAAACCAGGTGCTGGGGGTGATCCAGCAGCAGCGGAGGATGTGCCCTTAGCACAACCTCAACAGCGTGACCACAGTTCTTCCTGAAGGCACTGCCTTTTAGGCCCTTGTGGGTTGTGACCATCTGTCATCATGGTGATATGAACTAGTGATTGTGCATCAGCTGTTCATGTTATCATCTGGCCCATTGCTGTGAAGTGATGGTGGTGGAAGTCCTCATTTCACTCACAGGGCTGTCAGCCAAGGTAATTTGCTGGTCTTGCTGATCATCTCTGGTAGAGAGGTGTGGTAGTGAGCAGGAGGTGGAAACAGTCAACTTAGTGTGAGTCAAAGCATGTCTTTCAGCTTCACTGCGTCAGGCGTATTCTGAAGCCTCTTAGGCTTGCAAGCCTTGTAGGGCAGCTAGCAAACTTGCAGCAGCACCTGCCTTCTCCTCATACCCAGCAGAGAGGCAAATGCTGGTTGCGGGAGTGAGCCCTACATGCTCGCCTCATGCTTCTTTGAACTATCTACATAGACTCTCTCATGGATGCAGAAGGGGGAGCTGAGCGTGTTACTTGGAATTGGAAAAGCAGCAGTGAGCCATCAAAAATGAAACCCAAGTGACCTGCTGCCAAAGTAATTACTTGGTCCTGGACGTATGAAGAAACTCTAAAAGAGCCTCTGCAGCCAAACATTGTTCTGCTGGCTTGTTCCCTGATAGGTGACTAAAAAGTGGAGCATCTGTTCTAATTAGTGGTGGAAGCTTGCTGCATTGGGATCAAAGGAGAAAGCTGTTTGCTGAATCAAGCTAAGATCAAAGTGTCCTACCTACCGGAAGGGCCCATCCCTCTTTCTGCTGACAGTGGTGTACCCTGTTCTTCCTCCAGGCATGCTGCTTACAGGGATGCTTAATTACTAAATAAGGATGAGACTGCATATACAGAGAGTGTGTAATGGCCACTGTAATCCAATTCTAAGAGATGATCTGGTGGTGATTGATTTGTATTGTCTCTCACAAATTACACTTCCCTGAAAGCTTAGAAAAGATCTGGATTGTGTACCTTTGTAAAAGGAAACCCTTTATAAGACCCTTTGCTTGATTTTTCTGACCTCTTATGTGTAATTTGACTTAGTAGACTGGGCTGTATGTGTGTGCATATAACTATATTTGCGTTTATATCTACCCAAGGGAATTCAAGTCCTCATTCCTTAGGCTGCATTGAAAAGTCCTTATCCTAATGCATATGCTAAATTTGAAATCTATTTCGCCCTCTCTCTCCTGCCTCCCTTTTCATTAATGCAAAGCCACATTTTTGCAACTCCTGATTATGAAATGTTTAAACATGTACTGTTTGGTTGAGTTTTCCTACTAGATCTCTTCCTGGGCATACAGGTTTTTAAGTGTATGTGTGCATTCGCCTGTGTTTTGGGCCATGAGTATTGGGGTGGAAGGGTGCAGTCATGTAGGTACTTGCATAGATGGGCAAGTGCACCTGTGCTACATTTTCTCTGTCTGAGATACAAAGAAAGAGGCTGTAGCTCCTGAAGAAGATTTGATCTTTGCTCTTTCAGGTGCCTCCCTGGGATAGGAGCTGCATTGTAGTAATGCCCCTCCGGTGCTGTGTTAACACACCAGCCTACCTCCCTGTTTGTGGTGGTGGAAGAGGACTTTGCCAACATTTGGTCTCTTGACTCTCCTGTCGCCTTGTTTAAGCTTCCTTGTCAGAGGCGGTTGTGTGTGTTTTCCCCAGCTGTAGCCCTGCAGGTGCCACTTAGCTTAACAAAATGAGTCCTTGTCTTTTAAGTGCCTCCTGCTTTGCATACATTCCGGGCCAAAGAGTAGCTGAAAGGTGCTGGGATGCATGAGGCAAAAGCAAGTATAAGGAGGTGTCTTGCCCAGTGGTTTAACAAGACAGAAAGAGAGGGACAGGATGGGATGTGTGAGGTGCTCATCTTGCATGCCGGGTTCAGAGCAGCTTCCCTTGGTTAGAGAAATGGATAGGGTCCTCAACTCTTCCTTAGTGTCTCTGTGTCCTCCCATGCCCTGCTGAAACCACTCCATTGCATTAAAATTAAAAGGGATGCTATGGTGTCTTGAAATGGGGAGGAGATTATGGGGTGCTGCAGGGAGAGACTGGGATACTGGCAGAGCAAGGGGAGTTTTGTGTTTTATTTTTTTTAATTGTTCTTAAGTAGGTTGGGAAATTCTCAAATGTATTGACAATTATTTTTACAGTGAAGAAATTATGCATGTTCTATTTTAGTGGTTTTATTATTCTGAAGGATGTTTGCAATCAACCTGTAGTAAATATTAGGACTAGCAAGAGTGTATTTAGGTATGAAGATCACATCATCTTGATGATTAAGTGATTGATGTAACTAACCCTGCAATGCAAGCTGTAAACTCTTAACTTTTCCACTAAATTATATACTATTAATGAATACTCACACTTAAGTAGTACTTTTTCTAAATGACAAAAATTTGAATGTGTGGGATTTTCCTGGAGGGGGCAAAGGATGGAGCTGAAGAACACACGTTACTATTCTAAATCAGATGAGTAGTAGAATTCCCTCTCATGGAGAGCATCTAATGAAATCTATGCTGAACAGATTATGCTAGACTAGGTTAGTCACGACAAGGAAGCCTTCAAATTTAGGCCTGCAGAAAGGATGATCCCCTGTCAGGGTCATGTTCAAGAAGAGACGTCTCCAGAGTTGACATAGATCACTTCTCGGTTTTGGGCTGCTGCCACTGCCTGGCGAGCCATAAGCAGATAAGGAGTCCAAAATCATTCCCGGTCTGTTGACCACAGATGCAACTGGAAGGCAGATGCCTTGTAATAAAGGTGATGCTTATTACTGGCTCTTCAAATTATTTACTTCCACTTGCTGCTGACAACCCTGCATAGGAGATTGATGGATTAAGCTTTCACCAGCTGTTCCTTACCCAGGCACCTAATTCTCTGAGATGTTAGCACCAGAGACGAGCTGTTGCCCTAGGAATTTCCAAAATGTTCCATATTTTTAATATAGTCCAAGCCTGTGAGGACTGTATTTCCTGTAAGGTAAGAAACTCATGAATTTCGCTTGGAGATATTAAAATGACATTTTGTCTGGCTCTGTTTTGAAGCACTTCTGAGTCTACCTGAACTACCTGAATCTTTGGAGATGGGAGATATGGAGGTCAGATGGAAGTCTGCAGGAGGTTGCTGAGGATTTGCAAGGTGCTGGGGGATTACAGCTCCAGAGCAGTCAGTCCAAATACAGGAAATCATCATAGGCTTTTCAGGTGCTAGAAACTTGGGATCTGTAGCATCTGAAGCTCAGTCCTTCCAGGCTCTGAAGGCCCCATCTCTCCATTAGGTAGGTTGGGAAGGATACCAGCAAAGTGTGTGGGAGACCACTCACCTTCTTTTCTCAGCAATTAGCTTGTTTGATTTCTTTGTAGTTCAGACAGAAACCTATTCTCATGAAGCATTTCACCTTCAGCAAACCAGTGCCTCTTGGCAGAAATTAGAAACTTTGCTGGCAGCCCTTCCTGGAATCAGTGAGAGAATAGAATGGCCCACAGATTACACCTGAGTGCTAGCAGTGTTCTGATTTTGCCTTGGAGCTTGAAAACTCCTTGGTTTCTCCTCCAGAAGCCACCCACATGCTTTGAACAAGAAGATATTGAGCTGTTACATAGAGATGCTTTTTTGTAGTCAATTCTTTGATTTTGTGGGGAAAAATGGTTTAAAGAATTTTAGTGCTGCTCAAAATCGTGGTAGTGACTCTTTGGTTAGTTTCATTTGAAAATATTTTGGGTGACTTGCAGTCTAAAAATTGCAGCCTTGAGCTGCTGCACTGGGAGGCTGGGGCTTATCAGACTTTGAGTCCTGTCCAGCCGACATGGAGTGAAAAGAAGTGAATAGTGGAAATGATGGAAAATAAATGAGATTCTATGAGATTTGCCATTATCAGTAGTTATTTTTCACCAGCTAGATAGAAATATGTGGAAGGGAAAAGAATTTAGATTTTTAACCCTTTAAATTAAAAATAGCTCTAAAATGTTTCTTCTCATGTTCAACTTTATGAGGCGTAGAAGTGGAGGGAGAACTATGTTTCTTTTTACCCCTTGGCAAAGACTTTTAGATAGCAATTTCCTTTTCTGTTTCAGTGATGTTGGGTATCATTAAGATTGATGAGAATGAAAACATATTTCATTATCTCTTACACACAGCTTGGCTGCTCTTATGGCTCTTTTCCTGTTGCCAAAACAAAACCTGTTGTTTTCAGAAGCTCTGAAACTAGAATGCTTTCACTTAAAAGGGCCTCTCGTTTTCATTTGCCTGTGAAAAAGGTCTGCATGAGAGCAGCCTGCTCTGTTGAGGGAGAAATATAACTCTTTTTAACCTGAAGTAATTGGTAAGGTACAGTTGTATAATAACAGAATGCTTGCTGTCATGACCTGCAAGTGTATGGGGCCACCTTCACTGCTTCAGTTGGATCCTTCTCCTGAAATGCTTGAACTGGGTGTCCTTCTCTTTCCAGGTCTGGTGTGTCCTCTGGAGGTGTCAGTCAGTTCAGGCAGTATCCAGGTTGCCCGAGGCCAGACAGCAGTATTGCCCTGCACCTTCACCACTAACGCTGCTCTCACTAACCTTAATGTCATCTGGATGGTCATTCCTCTTTCTAACGCCAACCAACCTCAACAGGTAGGTGCTTTCTTCCGTGAGCATGTATTTCTTTGGGGCTTTCCTTTACCTCACTCTTTTCATGGTGATCTTGCTGTAGACCCTTTACAATGTTGAGTCTCTGGTTGTCCCAGAACTTCATTGCCACTTTCATCACTGAACGTGGCCTCCGGGTCTTACATGAATCTGATTTTTTCAATGCTTTGTTAACTGATGCATGTTGTGTCCTTGGCTGCCTTGACTGGCCATGCAGTTGGGGCAGGTGTATGTAATACTATATTACTATCCTGAACCTATGCTGATTTGTGTGTTCAAAAGAGATCAGGAGACATGATCCAGGTTTTGGTGTGCTGATATGGGATTTGGAAGACCTGGGAGAAGCTGTAGGCTTAAACCTGTGAAATCTGTGTAAAATGTGCCATAACGCATGGCCTTTCATAGACTCATCTCATGTTCTACTTCTCTTCTTTTTCACTGTCTGTTGTGTATGCAAGTCCATTCTTAGGAACATTAGTAAATGAGAGTCTTTCATGGTGGGCACAAGGCTCATAACCTGAGATCTACTGGCCTGGGTCTTGTCAAACTGTGACAGCAAAAGAATACCATTGCTCTGAAATGCTTCTCTCTTGGGTCACGCTGCCTCCATCACATTTGGTACTCAGTTTTGAGAACCTGCGCTGAAAAGTACTTGCTCCTCAGGGACTTGGTACAGCAGATTGCTACGTTAGCTGTCTGACTGGTAGAGGCTGTGCAGGCTCAAGGGCTGCCTGTCATTCAGTTCATCCCAACAATCTCTGATAAGAAGTGTCAAATCATGGCAGGGTCTTACTGGCTAAGTCTCAAAACGGTATTGTCCACTGGGTGGATGCTTTACAGCAAAGTACTCACTGACCTGCAGAGAGTGCCTGCTTCCCTACATCAATCCCATCCAGATAGATAATGACTATTGTATAAAGTATGCTGATATTGCAAATCCAACTATGCCAGGAGACTTGGATATCTACCTTTTTGAACATTTTTATTGACATAAAACAGGCTACAGAACGTATTCCTCTTTTAGAGAAAACACCTCTGCTAGGATGGATCTGCCTGGGACAAGTGTATACTGAGGTCTGGTTATTTAGAAATCCTGTATGAACTGGTCATTTTGGCTTTGGAAGCCAGTGTTTTGCTTGCTGTTCTTCCTCCTTGCTCAGCTCTTGCAGAGTGTTGTCTGAGCCTTCCTTTCTTTTCCAGGTTATTCTCTACCAAGGGGGTCAGATCTTTGGTGGTGCACCTCAGTTCTATGGGCGAGTGGGGTTTGCTGTGACAATGCCAACCACCAGTGCCTCCATCTTCATCAACAACACTCAGCTATCGGATACTGGCACATACCAGTGTTTGGTCAACAATCTTCCCGACCGAGGCGTCAGGAATATCGGAGTCATTGGACTTACTGTCTTGGGTGTGTTCATTGGTACTTTGGGGGAGATGGGAGAAACTGTGCATGACAGTGCTTCATAGCAGAGCAACATGGTAGCATATACATTGGAGCCCATGGACATCCTGTGGTGAGGGATGGGCTGCCTTGTGGGTATTGTGGGAGTTTGTAGGACACATACCTTTCATATGCACGTAGCATATAATGGAGTTTTAAAATACAGTGGAGAGAAAGCTTTTGTGGCAGCATTGTGATGTGGAGTTGCAAAGAATAAAGTATGAGGACGTCCTTGAGAGCTGAAGGGACCCTGAGAGTTTTGTGCATAGCAACAGAAGAGAGTGACTTTAGACCTTCACTTCCTTTTCATGAAAGCAATGAGTCCTGGATGCTCGCTAGCATGTTGCATACTCCAGAGTGTGTGCCATTATAGGAATATGAAAGCAAAAATCAGCCACAGCAAATTCCATCTGCAGCTCTGTTAGCTCTCGCCACCTTTGCTGTCTCAAAGACAGAAATGTTTACCTTTTGCCTAGGCAGGGATCTAAGAGGACTAGGCCCTGTGAAAGTTAGCAGTAGCCTGCAACCTCGATGGGCTCAAGGATCAGGAATCTTTGTGAATTGTCACCCCCTGAACCTTAATGGGTTCTTGTCTGCTGCCTCCCTCTTGTCCCCTTGTCAGCTCATCCCAGCGTCCTTGCTTTCCCCAGCAATGCGTGTCCAAAAACAGCCTCGCACTTCACTGTTTGGTCGTATTTCCTGATTTGCTGTCACCTTCCCCTCTTCTCTCGCAGTTCCTCCTTCTGCCCCGCTTTGCAGAATCCAGGGGTCCCTGGACGTGGGCAGCGATATCACACTGACCTGCAGCTCGGAAGAAGGCATCCCCCGGCCAACATACCTCTGGGAGAAACTGGACAATGTTCCCAAGTTGCCCCCAACTGCCACACAAGGTGCTCATTCTGTTGATTATCCTCCTATTTCCCAGGTGACAGTCTGGGGTTTCCTTTATCTGAGCCACCAGTGGTGCCATGGCTCACGGAGTGTCTGCCATCACTTGCATGGTAACTTTGCTAGAACGAAGATTCCTAGAGCCCATGGTGAACTAGGTACCCTCCAGTGACCACTTAAATTTTCCTGGGAGTTTTGGTAAAAAAACATGTTCCCCATTGAGGAACAAAGGTCTGACTGAATGGGAGAGAGAGAACATAGTTGCCAGATGTTGTCATGTGAATGGAGATTTCAGCTGCTGACTCACCCGTGTTTTAAACCAAATGAAAGACTCACATATTGGGAACTGAGAGAAGGGAGGCAGACTCATTCTGAGAAAATACTGCCAGCTTCTTACACTCAGGTCACTGTTCTCCAGTAAGTTACTGCTAGAGCTGCCTTTCAGATGTGTGTAAAAGCAAGACTCTGATCAGATTGGATATTGACTAGCCCCAAGTCCTATCCAGAAGATTTCTTAGCCTAGGTGTCCTGACTAGGTAGTGATAGCAGTACTTTTGGCCTTTATCTTGCTGTATTTTAAGAATATGCAAGCGTTTTACTTTTGTATAATTCAAAAATGAGGAAAATTGGCAGAGCAGGGGGTGGGGAGCCCAGGGGTGGGAGAGCAGGGATTCTGCAGGGCAGAATTAAATTTAGCAGGTAGATATGAGTGTAGGTAATGGCACATTTCTTCTTTCCTCTCTTTTCCCACACAATGCTGAGAGTCCCAAGCTTTCATTTGCAGAAATTCATCTATAAGAAGAAAAAGAAACATCTAGTGTAAGCTCCTTAAGACCTAATCTTGTCTGTGTGCGTGTACGCACAATGTTTCCATCTCAAGGTTATTTCCTAATTTATTTCTCTCTTAAGAATCTCACACCAAAATTCTCTGTTTGCTGGCTTTGCCTTTTCACAGTTTTCCTCAAGGGGGGAGGGATTTAAATCCTTCTTTTCTCTCTGACTAGACCAAGTCCAGGGCACTGTCACTCTCCGAAATATCAGCACTGTGTCCTCAGGTCTTTACCAATGTGTGGCTTCAAATGCCATTGGAACCAGCACTTGCCTTCTGGACCTGCAAGTCATTGCACGTAAGTATTTTGCCAAGGGAGGTTTGGCCACCTGCTTCTGTCTTGTGACAGTAAATTGTGTAACCATGTTTGCTGTGAGCCTTCACGTGCCTCTCTGTCAGAAGATCATTGTGCCCTGGAATGGGGATGTTGCCTTTTCCCCCCTCCAAAGCCATGGTAGCTTCAAATGGATGGCCACAGCCCAGCCCTGATCTCTTCTTCATTCTCTGTTCAATCATCCCGACAGCTCACCCCCGGAGTATTGGCCTGATCGCAGGAGCGGTGGCCACAGGTGCTGTTGTGCTCGTTGTTTGCATTGTGTTGGTGGCCGTGGCATTGTTTTACTGGAAAAATAAACACAAAGAAGAAGAAGAGGAGGAGATTCCCAATGAAATAAGGTAAGGGCTAGGGAAGGTTGGTGGCAGGGGACCTCTGATTGCCCAGCAAAAGCAGAGGCTGGCAGGACGACAATCCAAAATATCACTTACGATAATCCTGGATGTGATCCCCTTGACTGGGGGGAAGATGTCCATATATGTTCAGAACACCAAGGGAGCAAATGAAGAGTGGTAATGACAAATTTTGTTTTCAGTATTGCCGTTATTGAGAACTCTGACTTGATGTTGTTGGCTCCGTAGGAGAGTGACATGGTGGGGATCCTGACCTACAATACCACACAGTGATGGCTGAAAAGCTTTGGAGATATAACTGTAATCTTCTCTGGTGTTACAGCCACAGTATTTTTCTCTGGCAGCTTCCTGCAGCTCTGCTGAGGATCAGCTCCAATGGTTGTACAGTCATACTAACTGCCTGTGAACAAGCACCAGTGGCTGGGACACCACTGGTTTTGCCCCCCTAGACGCATGAATGTGAGTCGTTTACTTCAGTAGTAGACACACAAAAGAAGTAATATGCTCACAGGTTGGTCTTGCAAAGAGGGGTGAGCAAACAGGTCAAGGAGCAATGCTGGTTCACATTGGTGCTGTCCTTTACCTTGAATTCATGGTGTTGACCCCAGGAGGGTGTGTCGGGGCAGGGTGGGGGCTGTTGATCAAGTGGGACAGCATTCTCCCTGTGCCCTCACACCCTCTCCTTCCCAGGGAGGACGACCTGCCGCCCAAATGCTCCTCCGCCGCAAAGACATTCCATGCTGACGCATCCTCATCGGAGAACGACACCCTCACCTCCTCCAACACCTACAACAGCCGCTACTGGAATGACCCCAAAGCCAACCACGCCACAGACTCCTTCACTCGTTTCAGCAACAGCAACGATGCCCACCAGCCCCCTTTCTCCCGCTCGGGGAGCACGAGCAACCGCCCCGTCTATGCCAACGGGGGACACCACCACCCCCCCCCCC